CTGCTGGTTGGACCTCATCGTTTGCATTTTGCTTGATGGCCAGGCTACTGGATCTTGAAAGAGGCCTTGCCAACCCTAGCTATCCAGTTTCCGCTCAAACGATTATGCGCTTCGCCCGACGTAGTTGCCAAACACGCCGTGAAAGCTCGCATTCATCCCTGAGCCCTTGGGGCCCCAAATAGACACATCCAAAAACACAGGGGACGTCCTGGGAGGGGTGCCGTTGGTTTCCCAAACGACCCCGACTAAGAAAGGCATCCATCCACTACACAACACACGCACACACATACTCAGATCGACCTTCAGAATGGCCAGCATGAACTGCTTGAAACGCAGGGGCCCAAATCCATCCCTAGCGAAATGTCTGGCTCAGCTTTCAAGGGCGACAAACACCTCGGAAATTGTTGGCGGACATTTAATCCCCAGGCCGATGATTTTGCAAATTCAAATTTCTCACCCAAAACCGCCCGACACGGCCCTATATACAGACAAACCTGAAAGTGTGACCAACCTTCACCGGTCTGCAAGGAACTGTTTCTCATCTTCACCTCATGTTGAAGCTTGAATGGTATCCGATGAATCGCGTCCGCCAAATCACCAGGCGCTAGGCGCCTCTTGGCCAAAAAACGAAAGTCCTCTCGCAAAAACACAACACTCTCCCGGCCTCCATCAGTGTCGGTGGATCCGTTGGCCTTGGGCCGTATCAACTGCCAGGCGCAAAGAAGCTACCAGCAACAGCTAGCTCAAAGGATCAAAAAAGGCAGGAGCTCTCACCAGATAGAAATCGCCAAAGAAGGAAAGATGAAGGTACTCACATGTCACGCGCCATGTGAAAAGCAAACTCAAACAAAACACCTACCATATGTGAACCTGTCACAAACACCATTCTAGCCGTAGGCTTTAGAGAAATAGATCCCTGCGGTTGTTCTCCAAATGAACCCCTGCAGTGAACCGAACTTGGCCCGGTCATAAGATGGGTACCTACGCGTTTCTCAAGTGCCCAGGGGGAACAAGCGGAAGGCAGTGCGCCCACAGGCGGGCTCCAACTTGAAATGCAATGACAAACCAGCGCCAAGTACACCAGAGAACTCAAGGTTCCCCACGTGCCGTGGAACCTCCCCGGATGCATCTGAACGTATGGGCGCCGTCAGGCGAGCAACTTCTTTTGCGCCCAGCGATCACATCGCTTCCAATGGCCAGCTCTTCTGGCGGCGGTTTAGCCAGAGAGTGACTTGAAAGTGAAAAGCTCCAGCCCCATGAAAGATTCCCCAACGTTTGGCGTTGCGCTTTGAACATCTCCCGAGAAGCCTGCTCAAGAAGGGCTACCTGCAGACTCATCAAAGTTTCTTCCAACAGGGACCGCCGTTGAGCTAGTCCTGGAAAAACTCATGCCTGCCTGAATTGAATGGACACCGGAGTGCCGTTCTTCGGGGTGCGCATGTTCAGCGCCATTGTTCGAACACCGGAGCGCCGTTCTTGCGGGGTGTGCTTGTTCAGCACCATTCTCTGAGCACCTGAGTGCCATTCTTTGGGGGGAGCGCTTGCTCAGCGCCATGTGCTTGTTCAGCACCATTGCCCGAGCACCTGAGTGCCGTTCTTTGGGGCGAGCGCTTGCTCAGCGCCGTGTGCTTGTTCAGCACCATTGTCCGAGCACCTGAGTGCCATTCTTGGGGGTTGAGCTTGCTCAGCGCCCTCCAAGAACTTGCACTTGTTCAGCGCAGATTTCTTTGGGGGTGCGCTTGCTCAGCGCCCTCGAAGCACTTGCACTTGTTCAGCGCAGATTGCACTTGTTCAGCGCAGATTTCTTTGGGGGTGCGCTTGCACAGCGCCCTCCAAGCACTTGCACTTGTTCAGCGCAGATTGCACTTGTTCAGCGCAGATTTCTTTGGGGGTGCGCTTGCTCAGCGACACCAACCAACTTGCGCTTGCTCAGCTTGTTCAGCGCAGATTTCTTTGGGGGTGCGCTTGCTCAGCGCCCTCCAAGCACTTGCACTTGTTCAGCGCAGATTGCACTTGTTCAGCGCAGATTTCGCTTGCTGGGGGACTGCGCTTGCTCAGCGCTCAGCGCCTCAAGACTTGCACTTGTTCAGCGCAGATTGCACTTGTTCAGCGCAGATTTCTTTGGGGGTGCGCTTGCTCAGCGCCCTCCAAGCACTTGCACTTGTTCAGCGCAGATTGCAGCTTGTTCAGCGCAGATTTCTTTCTTTGGGGGTGCGCTTGCTCAGCGACCTCCAAGAACTTGCACTTGTTCAGCGCAAATTTCTTTGGGGGTGCGCTTGCTCAGCGCCCTCCAAGCACTTGCACTTGTTCAGCGCAGATTTCTCTGGGGGTGCGCTCAGCGCCCTCCAAGAACTTGCACTTGTTCAGCGCAGATTTCTTTGGGGGTTCGCTTGCTCAGCGCCCTCCAAGCACTTGCACTTGTTCAGCGCGGATTTCTTTAAAGGTACGCTTGTTCCGCGCCTCCCAAGAACTCGCACTTGTTCAGCGCAGATTTTTTTTGGGGTGCGCTTGTTCCGCGCCCTCCAAGAACTTGCGCTTGTTCAGCGCTTCCAGTAGTCTTCTTGAGCAAGCGCTTGGAGATTTCAAGGCTTCGCCACGGGCTTGCACGCCGCGACTAAACACCCCTGAGTCAGCGGACGGGCAGGGACCGTCTTGACTTCAAGGGCGTCGGTCGAGGATGCGGTGCTCGGGCGGCGAGCGCGCGCACGTGTCGCGCGCGCACGTGTTGCAGTCTCGCCCGTGGCGACCCCTCGGTCAGCGGGCGGGAGAAGCCCCGAGAAAATCGGGAGAGCTCCCATCTTGACGTCAGGGCGCGCCGCGGGTCGATCGATCGCGCACGTGCTGCCGGCCCTCAGTCGGTCGATACTGAGAGGCATCGCCAGTCAGAGCTCGCCCGTCACGACTTCAGCGCAACACGCAGGGTCCCCTCAGACAGCGGACGAGAAATCCGAGAGGACCTCGAACTCCCCATCATGTCTTCAGAAAAGACCATACTGCGTGTCCCCATGAGAAGTTCCTGAACACCCATTGCCTGTTCTCGATGGAGAAATGGGAATGAGCCTTCCATTTGATGACTTCCACAGTTCGACTGCGATTCCCAGGGCCTCTTTGGAGACTTTCATGTCACTTGGCGCCGCTCTTGGAGCTGGACTGGGTTTGCCACTCTTCGGGAGTGTACCAAAAAGAAAGCAGCATCAGGGAGGCCCGGGAAAAGGAAGCAACTGACTCAACTGACCAAGTTTCTGGGAGGTCACATGCATGAACGTGTTACATGTGTTGCTGTGTCAAAGTTCGGGGCCCTGCTGTCAATTGCTGTTGTGGCAAACCCTGAGCGGTGTCAGACCTCTTTCAGCGGTCAGAGCGGTCCACATGTGAGGGGCTGCCAACGTGTGGGCGCCCCCACATTTCAGTGTCGAGAAGTTAGAGGAAGTTCAAGGACACCCTCTGCTGCAAGCCTCTGGCAAGAATCACTGTCGTCATCTACCTTTTGTTCGGGAATTCCACCGAATCGTTAACTGCTCCACTTTATATATGCCCCGCTTGTTGGCTGAACCCCTTTCTCACCCAAGTCGCCGTGATGAAGACGTCTCCAAGTACTATGAAGTGGGGATCCATTTGTAGTGGTTACAAGGAGCTTCATTGGCTCGAAGTATTGAATTTCAGCCAACTTGGCACGCTGGCTTTTGCGCGAGCCTTCAGCACCCTAGCACCGCGCTTCATAAAATTCCGCAGCGCCTCCGCGCTGAGATCTCCGGTATGGATTTCGGAGGTAAGCTTCCACGCCACTAAGGGGTGCTGCCATACAAATGAGCCACAATCTCTAGCTTCCCTCTTGGTTTGGAGGTTAGGGTCACTGCGGAAAGGGGCAGGCTTTGGTTCTGTGAAGCCATGGGAGAAGTTGTTCGAGGCTACCTCTTGTTTTGGGGGGTGTCCCCTCCATTGAAAAGCAACGTGCGTTACTTTGCAGTTCGGAAACTAGTGGATGGACAACTGGTTGCTGCCCTTGCAGCCAGCTTCCCAGCTGGCCCTTCCTGCAGCCAGCCCAATCAGAGCTGCTGATCAAGCCTCACGGAGATGTGTCGAGAGATTGCTGGGAGGCAGGGCATGTGTGTTTTTGAGGGGACCGTTTCTAAGTTGGTCTCATGGGAAAGCAAAAAGGCAAATGGCAACCACATTTTGTGGCTGGTCCCCGTATTTTGATGCACAGCCGAGAAAGGGGAGGTGTTTTGAAGGTCTTTTGGGGGGCTGCTTTACAGGGAGACCAAAAGCCTGCCAGTTTGTGGGTTCTCCACTTTAAGACAAACCCATATAGACTCTTGGCTTGTCGGCTCTTGCATAATGAAAACAAGAGTGCGGCATGCGAGTTGTCCTCTGACATGAGTGCAGGAAACAAGGGCCCCCCGTCATCTGGCTCCCTGGTTTCGCTCCTCCTGGTTTCAATTGAAAATACCTCGAGTCGCTCCATCCACGCTCCAGCGGTCGATTCCACCTGCAAGGGTGAATCCTCGCAACACACATCCAAACTGAACAAAAGGTCCACCCAAGTCCGTCACGTATCCAAATTTATGAACGGCCACTTCGGCCAAGCTCTTGCTTCTTGGGTTGACTGGCCACAAATGCACAAGCTATTAGCCATCCAGAATGGCGAAATCATTTGGGTGTATCTTGTGTTCAGGGCGCCACTTGTTTGGTGGTCTGAAAAGGAATGTTCTTTCCCACCAAAACTGATGTCTCCAAAATCAATGGGTGTCTCTAAAAAATCGGCCCTGCCAATCGAACCAAGCCGGAGAGCTGTTCCCACTCCAGCTGCGGCTGGCCCCAAAAATCCATGGGTGTCTTTCAAAATGGGAGCTATACGCTTTTGGGGGGTTTCCGAAACCCACATCTAGGCTCGCTTTAGGCTCCGGCTCCCAAATTCCGCCCTTCCCCAACCCCTGCCTGCGGCCGGCAGCTTGCGCCCGCCATCAAAAGCGCCGCCGCTGTCAAGCGGACGGATGGAGTTAGCCAGCAGCCTCAGCTGAGAGGACGGAGGGCTGACCGTGGAAATATATATATATATATATACATATATATATATATAATAAACTGACCAGCCTTCCGTGATCCGTGGGTCGACAAATCCAGTTTCGAAGTTCGAGACAATGTAGGTGCATTCATCGCGTCTGTCGCCAAGAACTTGATATACTAATTACAATGATGATGCATGCTAATAAATAAGCACGGAGCCTGCATGTTCTGGATACAATGATCAGAGGCGATACCTTTTTTGACAAGTGACTTGTAAGAGACATCCAGCCCAAGGACCCCAAACTTCAAGGGCATCCGGTTTTCTTTCACCATCATGCTGCTGACCCGCTTCTTGGGGGACATACCTGCGCCGCTCCTGCTTGGAGGGTACATGTTGAATGGCATCCATTCCCAGCGCCTCATGTCAGAGAATCGACCAAACACGCTCTCTTGTGTGTTTTGCTTTGTCGATCAACTTCAAGTGAAAATGCGAAGACTCTCCTTGCGGCTTGGCGTATTCCTTTACAACGCACATTTGTCACGAATCCCAATCAACTACCAACTTGCACTGTCTCATGGAGATCTGTGCGGTCAAAATTCGAGCTTCAGCCCAAAACCGCGGAGAACTTGGCGACTTGGAGCTGAAGGGTCAAAGGCCCGCTTGGTTTGGGGGGGGGGGGTTGAGAGGCCCGCGGCTCAGCTGACACCCAGACCCTGCGGCGCCAACCGCCCGCTTTCTTGGCTTCGAATCGCACTGACTCCGAATCCACTTCTCGTCGCAAAGGTGGGAGTCGTCCAGGCCAAAACTAAAAACTGGGACACTTCTTGTCCATGAGATTCAAACTGGTGACGGGAACCCCCCATGGCCCCGTGGCGCCCTGATCCCTGACAATTTGCCAGCACCAACCCCCCACCTCCCCTCCCCCCCCAAAAATAAAAGTCTTTTGAGCCGGTAGCTCCTTGGAAGCAATTTGAGGATACCCCCAGCAACTAATTACTTGTTGTTGAATACTTGACTATGCTTCAAACATGTTCACAATATGGTTTCGTCAAACCTGCAATTGATTTGCACATCCCCCGCTTTTCGGCCCTCTGACTCCCCAAGCCCTCTCCCTCGCTCCCAAACCGCGCGCACACAGCGAGCGCTTTCGAGGGGCCGCGATGAGCGCGATGGCGGTGGCGAAGAGCCCGCAGACCACCGGCACCAGGCCCCAGACCCCCGCCGGGGTACCGGCGAACTCCTGCGACGGCGGCTGATGGAACACTCCCTGCGACGTCGGCTACACGAGATGGCGGCGCCGTCAATACCAAGGCCCCGAAAAGTGGCGTTTCGGTTTCGCTTTCTGACCCCGACCCCTCGAAGCTGGTGAAGCCGGAACAAATGGAAATATGGACCTCTTTCAGGTTGCATCGGTTTGCTTCAAGGAGGAGTGATTTCCAAATGGAGTCGTCAGGCGGGCTCTAGCGAATGGTTTCTAGCAATTCAGGTGGGTACAACAAAATTGTGTTGTAGCACATGAGCATATTTGGCCATGTAATGGCCTGGTGTCCAAGAGCGCCAGGCCCATGGGCGGACCATTCCGACACACGCACGCTGTCAATCCCCACCCCCCATTGAGTGACGTTAAGCCTCCCAAATTGAGCAAGCCACGCGTCCCACCGTACCCACATTCTATTGACTCAAAGAGAGTCCGTCCCTTTTTGCGGCCTGGGACGCCAACCCCCCTCCAAACATCTGGGCGACTTTCTTTGGTTGGCTAAGGAAACGAAACACAAAGTGAAGCCCTTCCTTTCCGGGGTGGGGGCTTCTGTGAGGACAAACCCAAGTGAACCTCAAAATGCCAAGCGATGCTGAGGAGGCGAAGTGATCGCAATTTCAGCGCGCTGGGGAACCCAAAATTGACCTTCTGCGCGATTCCATTTCGGGGGGGTTCCTATCTGGAGAGGGCAAATCCACATTGCCACCTGCACTAGCTTCACCCCGCCCGCAGGTGGTCTTTCCAAAACCCGGCAAGGGAATGCCCCAAATCGATTTGCGTACACAGAAGGTCATATCTTCAGATTTTGTTTCCTAAGATCCGAAAGCTTCGAGACGACGCTGCCTTTCGCCGCTCCTTGAAAAAGAAGGTGCCCCAAAGAATGCCCACCAGTGGAGCGGACTGGCCGATGCAGTAGGAGATGGTGAGATCTCGGCTCGGTGCGAAGAATCGGGGCGAAAGGCAGCCCACTCGGAAACAGCTCAACCGGAGCATGGGGCCAAATTGCGGCATCATCTCCATGAACTGCCACACGGCCGAAATAACTAGAATCGGGGTTTGGGCGCTTCAAAGCCAAATTCTGTCGTGATCCTACGAGAACGATGTGTGTATATGAGATACTGTTTGCCCCTCAGATTGCCACAACGATGGCCATGTGGGTGCTTCCTCAAAGCGACCCCCACGAATGGGTAGCATCTTTCCGATGCCTTTCTTGTCTTGGATCACGAGCGAGCATTGGCCGCGTGGAGGATGGAACAACATATCGGGGTGCTCAAAACTTGTGGATCCTTTTCTTTTTGTGGGCGTTTCAAGGGAAAGGGAAACCAGCAGGACAAACACAGGCGCTAAATGTTAGGACACATCCATGTTCGCCTCAGTGCGCGAAGCGCTACTCAGTGCAACGGCACATGTGCGGAATACAGCCAATGATCGAAGCATTCTGCAGATGGTCCGACTGCACACACTGGTGTGGCCTGAAACAAGCAGACCACGATACATGCTGTGTACATGGGGGGTGTCCTTGCTTCCAATGAAGTGTGATCAAAAGGAGCTCCCTGTCATCGCCACATACATGGAAGTGCACAAAAGCCGTGTTGGGAGACCTGTTGGATCCTTTTTGAAAGAGGGTCTGTGGTGGGATTGTTATATGTTGGAAACCAGAAGCTGGCACTTTGGGCCACACAGCCCAGGGCAACTCAAGCCTAGGACCCATCAGCTACGTGAGTCCGCTAAACCAATGACAGAAATCCGAAAGTCGAAAAGGATCTCCGTGTCTCTCTAAGCTGCTCCCTTGACAGCGCGCAACTTGGTCACAATAGAAACTGTGTTTTTCTCCAAAACCTTTTCCCCTTCCATGCAACTCTCACCTCGCGTGCATTGGACAACGCAGCTGCCTTCATATGAGCCAGGGACAATAGTCTGTGCTTCCCAAGCCAACATTGGAAAATTGGGTTGTCCCCCTGGTTTTGCGGGAAACTTCGGGGGCTGTCTTTCCCCCAGCAACAGGAGACTACCAATACTCGCAGATTTTGCTTCCACACCCACCCTCCCCCTCACACCCTCCCAGAGGACCACCGCTCATCTCAGCTTGGCCGCTCATGGCCTTGCTGCCCAAGTTGAAGAAGAAGAATCCCATGCCTCACTTTCGCGAACCAGGCGCCAACAACCCCTGTGGATTTCTCTTCATCTCCACCACTCCCAATCCCCCCAAGCACCCCCTGATGAACCATTCTTGGCCACCGCAACCGAAGGACAAAAATCTCCTGGGGGCAGTGGACGAGGAGGTTGCAACCAAGGGCAGGAAGCAGGAGAGTGAGATACGCTGAACAGCCAGACTGAGTTGAGGGACTGCTCTCAAACCACCGGGAAACAAGGAAAACCCACCTCCCCGTTTTCCCTTAGTGGAAACCCTCGGAACCCAAGGCACCTACTAGCATCGTCCTGTAAAGCAAATGGTTTCCGGAACCAAATTGAAACCAGTAGAACCTGTGTCTTGGCTCTCGCCGCATGGCCGAAAACTGAGCCCCTCTTGATTCTCGGCACAAAGAATGAAGCCCCCCAGGACGGCCAGCAGGTGGTTCTTCCTGCGCACGCTGCCCCACTGCCTGTCGCGGCTCCGCACAAGAAGAAAGCAAGGAGTCAGACTTCGGCTGTACTTCCAAAATGATTTTCAGGAATCATTCTGTTCAATTGGTGGAAAATCTAGAAAACAACAAGAAAGATGGGCGAAAAGCATGACGCGGGATCAACCTGTACAAGAGCTCCGGACAACCTGACGGAGGCATCCCCTTTTTCCTCATAGAGTCTTCCCCAAAATATTATTTCACAGGTTTGCATTCATGAATAGTGTGGCCCCAGACAACATTCCTTTAGCTTCCTCGTCTTCAGCTTTGAGGATGCTGGCAATGGGCAAAGAAGCACCCCCGTTTAAAGGAAAAGTGAGAACCCTCCCAAACAAAAGAACAAGAAGGGGCTGAATCCACCAACCAACGAAAAACAATCCGTGGATGGAACCAAGATATTCATCAGCCATCGGCGCTGAACACTGGCAGTTCTCAAAATCCCTCCCCCGAAATAAAAACAAACAAGAGTGCAAACAGTTGTTGAATTTCTCGGCAAGATCCGGCGGGGGAAGCTTTCGTTGCCCCTTCAAAATTGTTTCGCCGCCCACAAACCACAGCTCGCAGCTGTGTGAGAGCCCTGTTCGGCGCCATGTTCGCGAGAGGCAGGAGCAAGAATGGGGCGTCAGGATGACAAGGTCCAAGAAAGGTTTTGTTGCCACCTTTTCTGGGTGCCCTAAGACTTCACTGTGAGGCTTGGCTTCTGCAACTATTTGCTGCCCTCAAATGCCCTGCTAAAAGTGACTAACTTTTAGTGGGTGAAATGGAAACCACCAAACCCCCAAAGAAAAAACTGAGAGAAGCTAAAAGAAACCAGATGGCTGGGAGCCAGCGAGCAACTTTGTTGGACTCTGGACCTAGTAAGGCATGGCCCTGATCTACCCCTTCGAAGCCAACCCTGGGATATGTTGTTCAAAACAAAATCCGAAATTAATCACTACAAATATTAGGGGTGGTCTTTGTCAAAACAAAATCAGATATATGGATCCCCTGCTACATACATTGATCTTGAAACACCTGCTTGGAAGGCCCGACTCACCCATCCCAACGCGCATCCCATCAGCTTCCGCCCGCCGCGGCCGCGCGCGCCTCAGCACGCTGCAGAGGTTGGCGGGCTCGGAGCGGTCGATGGGGCAGGCCGTGACGATCGGCAGCATCACCTCGAACGGCGCTTCTGCCATTTGTTTGGCCTAAACGACTCCTGGGTTGCTGTTGACCCCCCTGCAAAAAAGTTTAAACTTTTCGTGGGGTTTAGCAGAAAACCCCTTGATTTCCCAAAAAGTTAAAGTCTATAGATCCAACCCAGTGGCAGACAAGACTCGGCCCCAGAACAACCGATGCATTGTCTGGGCCAAAAGCAAGCCATCGTGGCCGACCTTTTTATTTTGTTTGTCGGGAGTGGCTTCTTTTCTGGGCGATCAGAACCCCGAACAAGGGAGCAAGCGAAGCACAGACTCGAGAAGGGGTCCTCAAGGGCCGGACCAGCCGTGTCCCCTCCAAACACGAGCCCAAAAGGAAACTCAGCTCATGGTCCAATTGAAAACTCAAGCAAGAAAGTGTCACCCGAAAACTATCCGACTTGTGCCCCCAAAAGTCCCTCGAACGGGCAGCAGAACTTGTCCACTCATGTGGATTGACTAGAAGCCACCGCCTCGGCCGAATCAGGACAGCCCTCAAGTTCCGAAGCTTCTCGCCTCGGAGCCTCCAACTTGCATATCCCTTCTCTCTTCTCTGGTATCTGTTTGGTACCCGCAAACCGGTTCATGACCGCCGCGGCTTTTTAAGGCCCCCCCCCGGCCACCCCCCCCCCCCCCCAATCCCTGATAAAATCAGGTATCGTGGGAAGCTCAGCCCCCAAAAGAAGCCAAAGCTTAGAAAACTCCCGCTGGCACAGCCAGCTTTCGTGAAAATCCTTGGCACCCTGTCAACTCACCAGGACGCCCGGGTCCGTCGCCTCACCGCTCCCAGCCAAGGGGCGAGAGATGTGATGAGGACGCCGATGGAGAAGTGCTGAGCGCAGAGGTTTGACCCGAGAGGAAGACATGAGACTCGCGAGAATGTGGGGACCCCCACAATGGGCTTCCCTTTGATGCTCCTTGTGGCTTCCCTTTAAACAACCCAAGAGTACACTCAAAAATGGTGTTCCTTGCGATTCCTTCCCTTTAAACCAACCCCCCAATCCCCTCAACACACACCTCACCGCATTAGTGAATATAATGTGGGTATTCCAGGTAGGGCTTTCAAGTATGTGGCTGGACAACAATCAAGCAAACAACCGACCCACCAATCGACAACCAACAGCCAGCAACCAACAACCCATCGACCAACGGACTAACCGACCAACCGACCGGCAAACCAACCAGCCAACCAGCCAACCAGCCAACCAACCAACCAACCAGCCAACCATCCAACCAGCCAGCCAACCAACCAACCAACCAACCAGCCAACCAGCCAAACAGCCAATCAGCCAACCAGCCAAACAGGCAATCAGCCAACCAGCCAAACAGCCAAACAGCTAGGCCGCCAACCGGCCGAACCACCTGATAGCCAAGCAAGCCCTCCCTTCGGGCCTACGGGCAGCCAACACACGAACCACTTTGCAGTGGTCCAAGCATCATGACATGACATCGTCGCACTGGGCGTGTGATTACCTTCAAACCTTCCTGACCTCCAAAGTCACGCTCCCAACATAGTTGGAAGAAAACCTCAACTCTGAACAGGAAATGACACCAGTCCCAGCACCACTCTTTTGCCTATTTGTGTTCTTTCGGGGGTTGGGGCAAACTCTCCCCAGACCTCCGGCTGCATATCGAAAGAACTTGCTTCTGCAAGAAAGCTCCGACCCACTGCGAGACCCTCTACGTTCAAGCTCTTACGGCTCTGCATTTTTCGTTCGACATGTGCAAGTCCTGAGCCCAACGGTTGCTCGCTTGCTCTGAGTAGACGATACATAGACTTTGGACATATCTTAACAACCCACTCACCCTTCCCACCCAGGCCATGGTTGGAAGGGGGTCATATTTCCGAGAAGCAAAACACAAATCCCTGCGGCACGTCAGGCGCCAAAGCGGCGAACTGGTTGGCATAGGGCGACAACAGGCAGGGGGCGCTCGTAGCTTTCCTGGGTCAGCCAGCCAGCGGAATCCACTAAAGTTGCATGGACTGAACTTTTCCGTCCGGAAAGCATCAAGTCCCTACAGTTTGGACGTGCGGGTGTAGTCATTGGTAGTTGTGTCCAAGATCAAACCCAATGCGTTGCGCTGATTCTATTTGCAAAGCGGTGCGACCCCAAGGCAATCTACATTTCAGTAGGGGAGAAGGGGACAAGGGTACTGGGCATGCACTGTCCAGCTTCCCTCTAATTGGTAGTTTGGATTGGTGGCTCGGAGGTTTAAGGGGTGGTTTCCAATTTACCCTGTACCAGAACCAGGTTCCAATCCCCAAACTTGAGGAGGGAAAAGTGTTGCAAACCGAAGAGTCAAGCGCAACACTCCCTCCAAAGCTCCCAATCTCCTTTTAACTGTCCATCAAACGGTGATGTCTAAAACCAGGCATCTGTCTCACATGCCCTTTATGGCTGTTTGCCTTCACTGCCATGTACGAACAGTGCCTTTTGAGGCGAAAGGTGTTGCGCCCGACTCTTGAAGATGGGACTGTTGTGCAGTTCTGTCAAACCTGAATCAAGACGTGAAAGAGCGTCCCACTCGCGTGTTCCAAACTTCGGTGACTCAAAGGACTGTCGAGGCAGCATCCCTCGAATGTTGAGCATCGTTTGAAACTGATTCACATGATGCTGGCGAAGCTTTGATGTTGGCTGGTGATGTTGGTGATGCTGGTGATGTTGGCGGCCATTATGGACCTCGTTCAACACTCAAGGGCTACATGGGCATGTTTCCCCCCTTTGTCACTCGTTTGCGCAAGGAAGGCGTATGCAGCGGCCTGTCGGGTACCCCTTGAAAGCCGTCGCCCTGAGCCAATTTCTCGCCTCTGGGTCCCCTGGCCCGATGCCAATGTTGGAGAAGCCCAGCAGCAAACCCCCAGTGATGCAGACGATCAACTTCCTGCGAGCGGAAGGGGTCCATCTCGCCTCGCAAAAATCGCCTGGCCGGTGCCTCCGCAGTCGTGAGAAAGGCGGTCTTCTCTTGTGTACAAAACCAACCTAAAAACGCCACCGTTTCGAGCGTGACACGTTCGCATTTGTGCGTTTTGCGGTGGTTGCGAAGCCACCTGCCAGGATGCGACTAGAGAAGTGGAGGAGTTCTTTGGCCTCATGGGATTGATTACAACAAGACACGCGAGAAGGTGTGTGGAAGCAAGACAAACTGAAATCGAGGAGAGAGAGAGAGATGAGAGGGGGGGGAGGGAGGGGAGGGAGCAAGGGAGCGAGGGAGGTGAGGGAGGGAGAGAGCAAACGGGGCACCACAGGCGAGGAGGAGCAAACTGCAAAGCGCCGGCATCCAAGAAAGGCCAAGCGAGGTGGAACCAATTCCCGAGCGAGGTGGAATAAGCAAAATCAAACTGACAGAGTGCCCCGCCATCTCTCGAGTCCTCATCATGCCCGGCTTCCTCATGGTCTTGGTGGCCTTGCAAGCGATCAAAGTGGGAGTTACCCTGCACAGACTCTTGGGCTGCTCCCAAAGGCAGCCAACAAATGAAAATCAAAACAATTCAAAACAATGAAGTTTACTTAACTCATCCAATTCAATTGCTGTTTTGGATTGGTGGTTTGCGCTGAGAGGCATGTCGTCTTGCTGGCCCCTTCTCGTTGCCCTCTCCAGACCCAGGATTCGCCTTTTGGTCGCCTGCAAAGTGAACCCCGCCTTTTTTGGGGGAGGGCGGGGGGGGGGGGGGGTCCCCAATTTAGAATCCCGCCCAAATGTGAATGAGCCTCACCCTAGAAGGTCACGCCGAAGAGAATCCAACCCCCTTGGCCTTTCTTCGGAGCGGAGCCGTTTTAAATCCAAGTCGAAAAAAGTCGAAGGCATGCCTCGACATCCGAATAGGAAGAAACGGGCATGACTCGAGCAGAAAAACTCGGCTGAATTCTGGGAGCAAGGGATACTGCTGGTTACCATAAAAATCCTGTATTTGGCAATACCACTCCTTGGGAGTCCTTAAGACAAATAGACAAGATGAAGCCGCATCTCAGCCTCCCCTCCCTCAGTGTGGCCTCCCCGGCTTCAACGACGACTTCCCCCGCGCTGTCGTTGCTCGAGGTTTGGCCCTGCGACGATTCGTTCGAGACGAACCCCGGCCCGAGCGCAAGCATCAGCCCCCGAGGCGATCCGAAAAAGGACAAGAGGTCCTTCATAAGCCCGAAAGTGGGCTCGAACAGGGCCAAGGCTCGAACAGGCCAAGCTCGAATTTGTGTTGCTTACTGTTTCTTAGTTCCAAAACTCCTTCCCTGTTCGATGCCTTGCCACAAGGTGCAATGAGAACTTGGTTGCACAAGCCATACCCCAACCCTTCTGTTGTTCTCCTCATCGCAATGCTGTCAACATGCGCAAGGCCTGGGTTGCCGCACTGTGCCTTGTCTACGCGGAAAAAATCAACAGCGCAGGCCTGTTTCAAAAACCCTGCTTCGAGAGGTGTACCACCCACGCCACAAAGCCCACATGCAAACAAATGGGTGTAGGTGAATTTCACATCAAGGTGGCAGAGTCCACAGACGTGGATGGCACGCCCTGCAGGCAAGGCTTACTAAGCCTATCAGGGGTTGGCTTACTAAGCCTAAGGGGTTTGGCACATCGAGTCACCTGGAGAATGCAGGAGCTGTGCCACGAATTCGCATGCACCAGCTGGCCACAGCTTAGGCCTCAAGCCGGCTGCGCTTGCGCATCTGAGGCCGGCAGCGCCACTTGCGCATCTGAGGCCGGCAGCGCCGCTTGCGGTGGCATCTCTGGCGATGGCGCCACGTGCGCCGGCATGGCGGCGGCCAGATCCCGCTCGATCTGGGCGTAGCGGTCCGAGCCGAGGAGCACCCGAAGATCAAAGTTCGGCGGGAAAGCATCCGTCTTGCTGAGGAAGAAGAGATACTCATCCACGGCCTGGGGTCAAGAGTCTTGCCTCAAAGCAATCTCAGGGCACGACGGAATTAAGCACCGGGCCTTCAGGAAATTCACCAGCTGCTCCGCGTACTCCTTCATCTTCTGCTCAAACCTCCTTCGACGAGCTCCATTGGGATCAGTCTGCTGCAACGACTTGAAAGTGGTAGAGGCCTGCCGTCGAACCGTTGCCCCTTTGAAGGACGTATTTCCCTACTTCTAAACCACAACCCCCACAGGAGAACAGGGTATATAGCCTCAACTGCATATGGTGGCCATATGAGGGCAGTGTCCTCAGCGCGAGCTGTTTCATAGCGGAAAAGCGGGAAAGGACTATTGCTGGAAGTTCATTGAATGCATGTAGTTTCGTAGTTTGTCAGATGCTACAAGAAGCTCATCATTGGCCAACCAAATCTAGAACCGGGTTTTTAATGTTCTAGCCGCGTGTGGGAACTTGACTGGAAACGCAATCAAGCCAAGCTAGAAATCTACATACTCGAAACACGCTAGAAAGCGTGAAACTATGTTAGAATTACACGTGACATATGGCAAACATGCGCTAGACATAATCTGAATTGAGACTGGAAAGATGCCATGAACGACTCGAAGTATGCTTGACATAGTATGAGTGCAAAACAATTGGGGTGGGTCAAACTCGACTTGTGTGGGACATGGTCTTGGCTCGCTTACTAGGAAGACTGACGTCCCTGCCATGCTAAATGGAACCAAAAACTAAAACCTGCGTAACCCTAGAACTGTAGTTGGGAACGAATTGGTGGACATCGTTTACATCGGGATTTGCGCCCACCCGCTTAGGGTGCTTTAACTATTAGAACGCGTAGCCCTGCTAATTTGTAGGCCAGTTGCGTGCTTTGATTTGGGTGTTTGCTGCGTTTAAAGGGAACCAAAGAGAACCGAAGAGACACCAACGGTGTCTAAAGGGAAATTAACGGAACACCAATGGGACACCAAAGGGACACCAAAGGGACACCAAAGGGACACCAAAGGGACACCAAAGGGACACCAAAGGGACACCAAAGGGACACTAAAGGGACACCAAAAAAAACCAAAGGAAACCACTGGCTTCCCTATCAAAGACAAATCCATTTGGAAAGAAAAGCCGTGCCTCAGAGGCTGCCAGCGCAATGCCGCTCCACATAAGCTTGTGGAACTCCGCCACGCGCTTAGTCTCCTGGACTGGGGTTACTATTCCAGTCTCCAGACACCACTCCAGAACGTTTTATGATCATATAAGCTCAAGGTTCATAGCGCCCTCGCCTGTCGGAAAATGGGCTGTGCTTGTGAGTGCCCAATTGGTTCATATGTTGTGTCTTTTGAAGAAAGAGAGTTTATCATGTTTCATGTTTGGTCTTCATGAAACAGCTGTGGAGACCCCGTCCTTGGCCAGTTGCCCTACCTTGTCCGACTGGTCCGCCACCGCCCTGCACTCCAGCGCCTGCTCCTTCCGGGGCAAGGGTCCAAGAGGGCGGTTTCATGGTACCAAAACCATCCAAGAATCAAAGGCAACCTTAGGAAGACGCACCCCAACTACACCCAAAAGGCGCCAAACATGCGACTTTCCACTCGGCCCGGGGCCGAGTGCTTTGAACAATTCGCGTTGGCTTGGCAAAGGCGCGTCACCAGCATTGACCCAAGCAAAGCCTCTTGATTTGGAAAGCGCAAACTTTCAATTAGAAAGCATGTGGCTTTGTCCGCCTCCTTCTGATGCGCTGCGTTCTTCGCCACCCTGCTGTCCGCGATAGAGGACACCATGCCGATCGCATTCTTGACGGCGAAGGCCCCGAATATCACCGAGCACCCAACCAAAACCCCGACGCCCACGGGGTTGAAACTGACTACCGCGGCTGTGAACAACCCGGTTGGGCCTGTGGTTGTGAGAAGGGGTCCCAAGTATGGAAGGCTCGCGACAGTTTGCGCTCCCAAGTAAGCAACTGTGGCGCCAACGCCAGTCGCACCAGTTCCTGCTGCGCCGCACGCGAAGGAACCAGCTCCTTGACCAACTGCCCGGCACTTGAGAGACTGGGCCTCGATCTTCTTGTTCTCTGCTTCATCTTCACAGGCCTTTTGGTCGCTCATACATCTGTCCCTGCGCGTAATATATGTCAGCTGGATATCCCGGATTTGCTGTGACACGGCGATCAAATGCTGCTGGCCTCTTTCTGCTTTATCGGCAGCTCCGGCGGCGGCATCCTTCATCTCCAAGAATATGGACTGAAGGGAAGCCGCATCTGACTGAACGTCGAGATCCTGAAGCTCCATCAGCAAGTCGCAAATATCGCGAATGTGTCGGCGCATTGGTGCCACTTGCCGCAGAGAATTCTCTGATGCATCCAGCTTCAGCTTGACCTGAGAGCAGGGACTTGGCTGGGCACGTGCTTTCAAGCTCCTTCTGTGGGCCATGCTGGCCATGGCCTCCTTAAGAGAAACTCATACCATCATATGACTGTGATGGCGAGAGTGAAATGCATAGGGGCTAATGACACACGGGCTTCAGCTACACAATTAAAGAACCAACATGGCCTTTGCCGCTTTGTCAAAGCGAGGTTGCGCAGTTCACAGCACCAACTGCGCGCAGAGCAACAACTGCTGGGATGGGTGACCACTGACAATAATGCGACCCTCGCCTCAGCTTGCCCCACCCCCACCCCACAAAAGAAGTGTTTTGTTCTGCTCCATATTGTGTGAACTGTTGTATACAAGATAATGTCAGAAGAGGTCCCAGAATTGCACTAAGCGCTGGGCAATGGAATCAGCAGACTCCCAATCGTTCTGAGCGCGCAAGTTGTCTTCCAGTTGTGCCAGCGCCTGTGATTGCTGCCGATCTGCATCAATGGACTGCCTGATTCTGTCACGCCCATCCGGACCGAAGAACTGCACCTCGGGTGTTGAAAACCAGCGCATAGGAAGCAAAACGGCTTCCAAATGCGATACTGATCCTTGGGAGTGTGGGGATTTCCCATGCGTTTCTTTCGGCCGCGCTTCTGAAAGGCCACAAATTGCCTCCTTCGCCGTGCCTCTTGTTTGGGGCAACTGAGCCCGGCACCACGGCGCCGATGCTTGCCTCCACTTTGGCGATGGCGTCCATGTCGTCAGCCACCAACAAGTAACCGTCCGACGCCTCGCTGGGCAAAGCTAGTGAAGGCACGAGCGACGGCGACGGCGGCAGGGGCGCTGACCCGGACATGGCAAAGAGGGCAGGTTAATGCGGCAACTGCTACGGCTGTGGCAGCTGGCGGCGACCGTGAAGCTGGCGCATGTTCCCTCTGACTGAATGCCGGCATATGACTGGCCATCCCATGCGTCCGTTCTGAAAGAATCTGCAGTCGCCACGGAGAAAGATCGTCTCCGGGGCATTGTCTCAGCACATCCGTTGACAGGAGTCCGGCGCTGGCCTCAAAAAAGACGCCTTCACAGGCCGTTTGAACTCAGGGTTCTTTGAATTCACTCTTGAAGCATCACCCCTCCGAGAAACAACGCATATAAATGGCCTGAAAGGAAATCCTGAAACAACCCCCAAAAGGACATAAATGAGGAAAATAGAAAGATAATTTCACAGGTTGGCAGCCTTCAACTTGGCAGGCTGGATTTTGGAAGAAACAAGGCAGGCCAATTTTGACATGATGTTGTCAGTTCAAGATCGTTGGTACCTCGCCCAGGCTGCTAGCTTCCCTCACCCCAGCTTGTTTGGCTGAATTCTGCTTTCTGGAGCCTGATTTTGCCCCTCCTCAGACCCTGCACCCCTACCAACCAAGCGACACACCCAAACCCCCAAACCCACCTACACTCCAACCCAACCCCAACCTTCCCCAACCCCCACACCAAACCGACCCCAAAAACCCACCGCCTCCACCTCGCTCTCATTCTCCGAGGAGTCCGAGCTCCCAGACCGGCGGAAGGCCTCAAACAAATTTCCCCGAGCCAAGCGCTGCGAGGGTCGCACATTGACGCCGTCACTTTGGGGCAACTCTGGGGCTGCGCCATCCCACAAGCGACTGAACATAGCCAGAGTCAGCTTGAGGTCAAAGGCATGGGAAGACACCATCACAGGGGGCTGGTCAACCATTCCAACAGGGAATGGTAGCTTTGCTCCTGCGAGATGAATATGGATATGTCCTCGGAATTTCTTGGACAAGAGTGGCTGGCTGCCCTTGTGCCAAGTTCACCTGGGATGCGGTTGCCTCAATGCAGCCGGTGACTGCGACTAGCCACACCTGTTTCTCTGACAAGACAAAAGGGAAAGGCAAGATGAGGCTCTAGCCTCGAGCCAGATCCAGCCCAGGGCCCCGCCAACCAACCGACGAGGAGGTTGCTTTAAAGTAGCTTAAACACAAAATCCGCCGACCCTCTGCCTCCCGTCCCAGCCTCCTGCAGAGGGGACCGGCGTGGGATGCAACTGGAAGTGATTGGAATCAATGATAGTCCCGGGACCGGTCCTGGGACTGGTCCTGGGACCCTGGTTCTGCTGTTTCAGATTACTTGTAGTCAGGTCTGGGGCCGGTCCCGGGACCGGTCCTGGGACCGGTCCTGGGACCGGTCCTGGGCTGGTCCTGGGACCGGTCCCAGGACTGGTCCTGGGACCAGTCTGGGAAGCCGGTCCCGGGATCGAGTCCTGGTGTGACCGCTGGTACTTCAAATTGCGGTGCGACCTCAAAAAGCTCCAGAAAACTTTCCGGACTGGCGCCCAGGACACTGGACAGGGTCCCAGGTCGTCACTGATTGCGACCAGTTGAGGGGGACCAACAGCCTTGTTTCTAGGACCAGCTCAACGTGACTTCGGCACAAGCCGGCCCGTGCGGTTGTTGACGGACGAGCTGTCATCTGTCTGACTTTTCCGTTAATCCTTGTGGTAGTAGAGGATCCCTGGATCTATTCTGCAAGAGAGTCCAATACGTCGAGTCAAACCGCGCCAGACTGGGACGGGTCCCAAGTCCCGGTCCCTGCCGGCGACCGGTCCAGGGCAACTTCGGGACGCCAACTCGAAGTGACTTGGGCGCAAGCCGGCCCAAGCGGCAATTAACGGACTAGCTGCCCTATTTCTGACTTTTCCGTTAATCCTTGTTTGTGGTCGTAGAGGATCTTCTAAGTGGTCCCTGGGTTTGCGGACGTGTTTCAGGACCGGTCCTTGTGACTTTTCCCTTAATGCGCTGAGGGTCGGCGGCAGCAGGCGGGAGCCTGGTTAATAATAGAAACAGCGGCTCGAACATCTTCAAACCGGGGGGGTTGGAACCCTGCCGCATCCAAGAGTCCGGGAATCCTGGCGGAAGTATGGGCTCAGTCCGCCAAATCCTGGGCTTAGGTTTCAGGTTTGGCTTTGAGTTTCCCGTTGGGTTTCCCTTTGGGTGTTTGTTTGGACTTCCATTTGGGGACCTCCATTTGGGGACCAAAAGTAATTCAGCGGGCTCAGCCTCTTGGGACAGGGGACAAGGGACATTGTTGGATGAGAGGGGAAATTCTGGCTAACTAGCTCCCAAGGAGTCATAAACTGTCCAACCCCCAAAGAGGCAGCTAATGAAGGTAGAAAAGGATGCCAAACCACGCATTCGCCTTGCCCGCACCTTAGCGGGGAGGGGCGGGGTTCGCCAATCTTTTCAAGCCTTGCAACTTGAAGCGCCCGCCTGGCTCCCTGCAAATGAGATCAACCGGGGGCCTCCCGAAACAGCCGGGCTTTTTGGGCCCAATTCCAGGCTGGGACTTTCTGATTCCCCCATAAAGAATCCAAGCGCACTTTCAAAGGGACCTGAAAAGCGGCGAAGCGCCGCCAAGCGCCCTTTGGTTCGTTGCGGTTGCCATCTTTTTGCACAAAGACCAGGGGAACTACTTCCAGATGGTTCGCACAACCCAGCGGAACCACCGACTTTCTTCGTCAGGAAATCCGGCTCACCCGCCCGCATCGACCCGCCTGGTCTTTGCGGTAGGAGAGCAAGCCCACGGTGGAGATCCCTGCAAGGGCCACCACCACGCCTCGAAAACTCTGGATGCTCCGTCGCCAAGTGGGAAATATGGAACCCCAAAACAAGCACCCACAAGAAAGCCACCCTTGAAAAAAGACAGGGAGTGAACGACAACACGAAACGGACCGCCATTTCGACCCACTGGGATATGGATGCAATGCTCCAAGTCTGTATGGCTTGAACCCGCCTTCAACTGTCCCACCAGAGTCTGTCTCAAGAATCGTTGTTTGAAATCATATCCTATCCGTTTTCCTGTGCTTTCTAAATGAAGGCACCCATCTGATTCTGGGTGAATCAATTCAACAATCGGGAGAGGGGCCCCCACAAGATTGGGGGCTCGACGGGAGGGGCCACAAGAGAGGGGAGAGGTCGCACACCAACATTCACATTGGCGGGTGTAGTTGCATTCGGCAACACAGCTGCAAGTAATGACTGAAGATAAGGTTGAATCAGCCAGGCAGGTTATCAACCTTGGGCTCGCACAAGTTCACCTGGAATAATCTGCAGAACGCCAGCCATGACCACCCTGTGGACAAGATCCCCCCAAGCTCAAGAATGAACTTAGCATCACTGGCCGCTCGCTCGCCGGACAGTTTTGGAGCGAACCCGACGCGCCAACCCGACGCGCCTGGCACCAGCAGGGCGAGGCTGCTCTTGGGGTCCTGCAAAGTCATACGCCCAATTGTGAGCCAGGGGGGAAGAGGGCAGGGATGTTCCAAATCGCATAAGGTTCCGCAAAGGCCTCAAACAGAACAGGACGTGTTGGACCATGAAATCGCGACGGCGGAGCTACTCAATATCTGCAAGTAGGTGCCTGAGGCACTGATCTGATCCGTTTAAATGCCCAAAATCCGAGTTTCCCGAGCCTTGAAAATCCAATTGCATCCTAGCAGACAAATTTAGAGCCTCTCCTGGACATAGGCCACCACCGCCCCGGTGACCATGCCCAGGCCCACGCACAGCGGGAAGCCGATGGCGTTGCCCATCATGTCGATGCCTGCGCTCAGCGCCACACGTCGAAGTCTTTGGCCGGGAGAGGAAGCCCACGTCCACCCAGAACTGCCATTGGGTTTCTCGCCCCCTGGAAGAAATAAAATATGATAGATTCCCTTTAAAACCAACCGGGGTAAATACTTAGGAGAGATTCTTAAGCAAATGGAAGAGATCCGAGAAGTTCAAGTCCTCCACCTGAAGTTCATCAGCCCCAGGGTGAGGGGGGAGTGAGGAAAGGCAACTGGCATATTGCACATGTAGGAAGGTGGAATCACCGATATTGGTGTGGTTGCAATATGTCGAGATCTAGTCTCAATGTGTGGGGGGGGTCCTCAAATTTGGGGGGGGAGCACCTGTTGGATGGGAAAGTAAGCGTTGGCAAAGACAACTGAGTCATAATCAAAAGCCGGTAATAAAATGGTCGACCCACAACCATGTGCAGAATTAAGAAGGCGGCCGCAGCTATTTATGGTTGGGATTGTCCCTTACTAACCTTCAATTACCCGGGTTTTGATTGTGACTAAAAAAGATGAGTGCCCCAGTTTTGTCAAGCACCAAAGAAAGCGATGCCACATGCAGCTCCAGATCCAAATCCTCTCGCAGCACGGGTCTGCCCGCCGCAAGTGCTACACTCCAAGATTCACGAAAGCTGACAAGGCTTTGGAAGACTGCGTTCCTTTTTTAGGGAAGCCACTTCCATCAGTTGTTCCGTGGTTGAGAAGAGGGTGCGCGTAGCGCGCCTTTGCAAAGAAGGATGTTGGCCATGTTCCAAACCTCAGTGCCGATGTCTGCAGAGTTGCGGCTCCACTCCGCTCGACTCAAGGGTTGCTGGACGAGCAGTGATCTGACGACTGCGCGTGGGTCAACAAAAAGAGCTTCAGTAGTCTTGGGACACACTAGTTCCAAGACCCGCTAGCCTTCTGCCCGCCAAGCGGCAATTCCTCCGAGCATGCTCCACAAATAGCCTCAGACAACCATGCCTGTGCGGCGTGACTGTAAAGACGCTTACCTGCGGGATTAAAACGGTCCTCCCGGGAACCCTTGTTCGCGGTTGAGAGGTTTGATAGCCAGTCTCCGAAACAACTGAATTCAGCCATGGCATGCAATGACACCTCCAAAAAATAACACAGCCACGTTGACTATTACTTCTACAATAGGGAGGACTCTCCTTTTGATGGCATCTGCTTTGAAAGAGATGGGCAAACCATGGCCATCCACCTCGGCGCATGTATGCCTTTTTGGGGATGTGTTTTCCAGCAAAAAACTGCCCCTCCTTGCCCTGAGCGCAGGGCAGTCCGCGCTGTGGTTGGCGCCTGCAAAAGCGAGCGCACAATTCGAAAGACCGTCAACGCGAGCATGCTCAGCAAAGCCCCTGTTTGGCTCCTTCGGCCTTTCTGCGGGTGTGGTTTGAAGGAAGCCACTGGAAACCAAACAAAGACAACCAAAGCAAGAAGCAACAAAAACGCTGACAAGAACATCCAAAAGCAAGCACGACAAAAAAGGAAGACGAAACCTCCGAAGGGGTCCCACGAAAAACTGGGTTCGCCCCAAACCACCAGCCCCTCGCAATCTCTCGCCTGAGATCTCGTCGATGAAGCCGGTGTGGAAGCCGTAGTACTCCCCGCCGGAGCCGAGGGACCCACCGAGCAGCCCCACCGTAAACCCCGTGGCCAGGAAGGACAGCGTGAAGTCCACGTAGTAGAGCCTCTCCAACACGTGTTGCTCTTTTCTTTTCCCCTCCCTCCCCCCCACCAAACGGTGTGAGAAAAAAAAAGGACCATCCGAGACGAAGGCCCCAGCTGTTTGAACAGTCAGCCCAATGTTTTGGTTCGATGTGTTTTGTTCCCCCCCACCAAGTGGTGTGGAAAAACAAAACCGCTTGGGGAGTTGACATTGTGTGCCAAAAGAAACACCTGCGACGAAAGCACCAGTTTGAAGAGTCAGCCCAATATGTTGCTTTGGATAACCTCCTTTAGGTTTCCCTGGGTGCGATCCAAATCTGCTTGCGACCACTTCGGCCCGCAGCTTCACCTTCTCACTCCATCCCTGGGACGCTTGGCCCGTGGCTTGCCCCTGAATCAATCCTCCACAAAAGTATCAAGCTTGGGAAAGCATGATAATCTGCCAACCTGAAATACGGGATTCCTGTAAAAGGAACCGTTTTGGGTGATGTCACAAAGCCGTGATGCATGAGGTTGCTCCAATCTGACCAAATAAAGTCCAGATACTTGGGAAGTGGGACGCCGAGTATACAGGGAGTTCTCGGGCTAGGGAACGCTATCAGCCGTTGGCCTCTCTTTGGCTTCCCTCAACGGGGACCGCGGCCTGGTTGCTTGGCAATGACGTCAAGAGAAGCTGGTAAAACCGAACTTGACAAAATGGGGCAACTGGCTCGGCAGCAAGCTTCCTCTTCAGATTGACTATGGCGTGACTTCCGGGTTGCAAGACCCAGATCCGTCCCTCCCCCCATCCCCATCTGCTTGTGGTCGCAATTTCAGATGGCGTCGCGTGTCACTTCGGATGGACCAAATCCATGTTGCACCAATCATGGGAAAAGCAAAACCACAATCTTCATTTGGGGGGTTCCGGGGTTCCCGAAAAATTGCCCCCCCCCCCTCCCCCCCCACCCCATGAAAGCCTGATGAACCATCCCTGGCTCTTTTGTCCATGCCAAAACTGAGACTCGCAGGTCCGAGGAGCAGAAAGGGCATCGGCGGCTGCGCCTCGCATGGGCGACCGGAAGCGGAAGGTTCAGAGCCCCAAGCCAAAAGGACGCAGGGGCAACCTGCATGAAACACGCAGAACCGAGGTCTCGGAAAACATGGGACCCCCGAAAAAAAACACCGAGAACCCGAGAAATCCTCAGTTGGGGAGGAAACTCATGTTGGGTTCAAGGCGCATTTGTGGGGAGAGAAACTGAGACACTTCTGTAACAAAATGCTGTCAAGCAGCCTGCTCAAGCTTGGACCCCAGCCACAAAATATGCCAGGAAGGGTCTGGAGGTCGCAATGCCCGGGCCTACCAAGCAGTCCTCGCATGCGGATTTTCCCCAAGGAAAAATGAGATGGGCTGGAGGTGGAATACTAAAAGAGTCTACCAAAACAAAACGTGTGAAGAATGCGAATATCTGTACTTGCTTATGGTTGAGATTTGTCCCTTACTAACCTTCATGGGTATGGGAGACCCCCAAAATAGTGGTTTTTCTGTTGGCTTCCCCTTAAATCAACACAAGACGGGTGCCCTCACAAGCCACATACCCTCGTCTACTCGAAGCGGTTTTCGGCGTGGCTGTGGCCCCCGACCATCTCTCAGCGAAGCCGCAGCTGTTCAACACACCAAAAACCCGCTTGGACGTGTCAGGTGCTGAGGGCAACAGTTATGCTGACCCCGGATGAGTAAGCCTCGCGGATTGATGGGGGGCTACCCAAAAATTAGGGACCCCCCTCTTAAATGGTTGATTCCTGGTAATAGCCAGGGGGTCAAAATTGCGCTTGCAAATATGCAGCTGAAAAAAAGGAACCCTCACAGAAATCCGAGGGCGGAAGCAAACAAAAAGGGCGCCAGTGGATCTGTGGTTGAACAAAAAGAAGGGCTCCTGCGAGATCGTATGCAGAATGGCCAAGAGACCTCCCTGTATGGGCGAAGCACATCAAGCTTCAACCCTGGCTGTCCAATTTTGCTCGTTTAAAATTAACCACAACTCAAAAAAAAACTCCTAGCCACCCATCGCCATATTGTCAAACCAGGGTGATCCCTAAAAACCTGCCGGTTTCAAGTGTTCCTGCAAACCCTCAACCTCCATACAAAGAGGTTGAAGCCTCTGAAACGGACCAAACTTCACAGACGTAGACCCACCCTCCGCCCACCCCGCCCAACCCAGCACCCCGCTCACCCCGCCCACCCCGCCCACCCCGCCCACCCCGCCCACCCCGCCCACCCCGCCCACCCCGCCCACCCCGCCCACCCCGCCCACCCCGCCCACCCCGCCCACCCCGCCCACCCCGCCCACCCCACCCGCCGCCCACCCCCCTCCCCTCCCATTTGGAGTGGCCTTCACCGTGGCCAGCACCAGCGTCACACTCCAAGAGCCCCAGCAGGCCAGCGCGCACAGCGCCATCACCAGGCCCAGCGAGTAGCTCGTGGGCACCTCGGACGAAACCGAGAAACCGAGACATCGGAGGCGCCCCGAAGCGGTGGGTTGAGGAGGCAAAATCGCCAGGTGTGTCTGTGTCTGTCTGTTTGTTTAAATTAGGTGACCCGCAAAAATATGCTCGTTGCTCCTTGTGGTGTTCCTTCAAAGCCAAACAGAAAGGTTGTTTTAAAGGGAAAACAAAAGGACTAAAACACCACAATTGTCGGGGGTGCCCTTAGAAAAGAAACACGCCCATGTGCACCTTGGATTTGTCTTGGGCAAGCGAGCGCGAGAAACGCAGGAAGGAAGAGACACCACGCTTTGCACCTTGGAATCCGGGTCCACGACCATCCCTACCAACCGCGAGAAGCAAGGCGTTTTGAACCAAGGCACATGGCACGAAACCCGCCAAATTTATTGCCCAAATAAGAAGTGCTGGCATCCAATTCATGCCCCACTGGTTGGAGGGCGAACGGGGAGCGGGGGATATAAGCTTGCCGGTGGAAACAGACATGAGGCCCTCCATGCCGACTATGCATATGATGGCCATGGGCATGTATCTGTCAGAATTCGTTGGTCATGCATCTTAGAACAACGAGTTCACCTGCGGAGTCGTTTCAGCAGACCTCGAAGTTGAGCGATCTTCCTCATGCTCAGTCACCTTTTCTTTGAGAAAGAACGGCAACCGCGCAAAGTGTGAGTGCCACCTAAAGACCTAAACCTTACAGCAACGCATCAGTGCTGGGCATGAAGATCGGCAGAATTCGAGGACCCGTGACCAAATGGGAGTTCCTCAAAATGGATTTCGGACCCCCCTTGCGGTTGGTACTCAAAGGAAAACACCAGAAAGCCAACCATTTTACGGGACCGATTCCAATGTGATGCGGAACTGCTGCAGCAGTTTGCTGGGCCAAACTGGACTGGAACTCGAGCCCTTTCTTTCTGGATTCAAGCAAATGGGTATGCGTCAAAACAAGGAATTGGACCCCCAAAATGGTGTGCCTCCGGGTTTTCCTGAATACAAGCGTGTTAAAAGGGGCGCAGAGCCTCAAAATTCACACCGCCAACCGTTGTCACCAAGCCCTTTCTTGGACCAACCGCCATAGATCCACGCTCACGAGCCGGAAGGAGGGAGAAACCAGATGGAGGTTCAACCTTTGTTTGTGGCCCCGCCGCTACGTAATCGCGCGTTTGGACGCATTTCGTGTGTTGCATTTCGTGTGGCCTGCGTGGGACTTCCTAGACATGTATCACACAAGCGACACATTTTGCATGGTATTTCACACGCTCGCGGGTTCGCGGGGGGGGGGGGAGGAGGCGTCGTGGGGTGGGGTGGGGTCATAAGCGCCGCGCCACGCGATCACGTGTATCGCGGGGGGGGGGGGGGGTGGGGTCTTGGGGTGGGGTGGAGTCATAAGCGCCGCGCCACGCAATGTGAAGGAAAAGACTTTGCGGATTCTAGATGCGGATTTCTGTGTCCCTGTACCCTATCATAGAAAGTTCTTGTCTTGCAGCCGCATAATCATCGCATTGTTCGGTTACAAGTGTTGGAAGGTTTTGTTGGACCCACCATGGCTTGTTTCAACAGAAAGCGGACCGGGGCTGATCAAAGAATCGACATGATTGGTAGCAAGTGTCTTTTGCCAACTATTCAGCTACGCATGGGGACATGTTCTTGGTACAGCTTTGGCTTCTCTTCTTTCGGCTGGTGATCCCTTTTGCTCGCAATCTTAAATCGCTTCGAAAGCACAAAAAAACCTAGGCGAAAAGGACCTTTCCCCCATTTTTCCAGAAAAAAACGAGAGAACCACCAGACCTCCTTCAAGTTAGTTCTTCTGTTTCGTGTGGCCTGCGCGGCACTCGGCGACTACCTGCAGAAAGCAAGGCGGGTGGCCGCGCGGTTACGCGGCGGCGGCGCGTCCTTTGTTTGTGAGCAACCCACCAAAAGGAATGAACAGGTGTCAAGTCGGGGGGAGGGGCCTTTCTTGGTGGGTCTTTGAAGGGAAACTAAATGGGCACCAACCAATTTGGGGGATCCCCGTATTTTTGGAAAGACTCAAACCAACGTTGCACAGGTTGACGGGAATGTGCCTCCGTCGGACTTTCACTCACCCCCCTCAACAGCAACCGCAGGAACCATTCCAGAGCCCACAGCTACTCGCACCTTCAGAACCTATCTGAGCAAAGAACCCAAAGCCTTCAACTGTTGAAGAGGATGACACCCTTTGTTCCGCGTGCAAAGCAGCCAAGAGTCCCATGGAATCCAACTCGTGACCCGAGGCACCTTTGACACTGAGCCGCGCTTTCTTTGAACTTTTTAGGCCAAGTGGCAAACATCTTTGGAATCCGTCGGCGATCGTGAGCGCTAGGGGTGCCAAAGCTGGCCCTCTCACAGCAACAGATCGCGAGAGGGTCAAAACAGTTCGGCTGGTGATTTGGGGGGGCCCTTTTGTGGACATCATTTACATGGTGGTAATTTATCCAACCACTGAAGCCATCAACTGCCTTAAGGCTGCTGTACCGATTCTCCAAAATAGAGCTACAGCAGCTTGGCACAGGCATGGGATTCATGGTCATGAGGGTTCGCCGTGTTACACCCTCCACAGCCATTGGCTTGTGCTATTCGGACTCGGACTCCTGGGTGCGTGCTTTCTCTCCGGTCAAAAGTTGCTGGCTGCGGGCGGATGCGGATGCTTCCATGGGCGGATGCCATCGCGAATGCACATCTCCTCAAAGTGTTGAACTCCTTCGAAACCTATCCGAAAGGAGGCCCTAGCCTGAAGCATAGAATCCCCAAGTACGGGACCTTTGATCAGTAGAAGGCACCCACTCGGTGCACCGACACCCGCTCGGTTTGCCACGGAAGCTGACACAACCTGGGAAGACCGTTGCACAATACATCTAGCAACAGCTGGGATTTCCTGCAGCGCAATCTTGCAAAGCTCCTCACATGCAGTGCCCAAAGCCCGCTGACTTTTGGTTCTAAAATGGCTTGAAAGGTTTACATAGCCTTTGCTACAACCAGGTAGGAACCGCTCAAATGAAGCCTACAGGGAGCTTGACATTTGATCAGCACCAGGAATCGTTGCCTATTCTGAGATCAAGCCACACAGATAGTGTTCCAAAGCAGTTGTGATGCACAAACCTGTCAGCTACATCCACTGCGCGATCTTCCGATCTTCCCTAGGTTGCAGTGGGACCAAGCACTTATACAGGGGTAAACTCGGGGGCCGCTTCAGAATGCATTTCCAGGAGACTTCAAGACGAAGAGACACCTACCAGTTTTGGACCCTTTTCAGCGCGTAGACCTCCACTGTTATGCCGCCCGATCAAGACAAGTCCTCGTCCAGTGTTCATTCTGGTCCTGAACCTCAACTCTTTTTTGCATGGCCAGGAACCTCAACTTTCTGTCACTTTCCTTCCGGTCCAAAGTTGAAAGGTCCGGGAAGAAAAACAAAAAGACGAAAAAAGGAAAAACAAACAAAAGAAGAAGAAGAAGAAGAAGAAGAAAAAAAAGAAAAAGAAACAAAAACAAGTCGTCGCCCAACACACTCGCCGGTTGAAGGGGCCCCCGGCCGGGGCGGCGCCCCCCGCCGCGGCGGCGGCAGCGCCACCTTGGCGGAGCGCGTGGTGCCTGCGCCGCGAGGTCCATCTGGCGGTGGTTTTGAGGGTACCTGGTTGGGGGGGTGGGGGCGTGGGCTGGTTTCAAGAGTTTAAAAGAGAAGCGTGGGGTACCCCCTTATTTTGACAACACATACCCGTTTCTGTTGGAAACCTTGGGCTGGACCAGCTGCGTGTCCGGGTTCATTTGGGGAGCAACAAATGTCCACTGGGCAAGCTCTAATTCTCGAACTGGAATATTAGGTCTTCCAGTAGATTAAGGGTAACCTCTTCTTTCTGTCGTGAATTTTAGTCGGGGAAACCCTCCCCCAAAAAAGGGTGAGAAAGGGATTACCGGGGGATTAGGGATACTAAGAAACGGGAAAATACGTCAGAAAAACCAAAGGAATGACAAATGAAAAGCTTTCCTTGACCCAAAGTGACAAGAACAGGACAAAGGGCTCTAACGGAATGAAACCCAAAAAACCAAGTCCATCCAAGCAGAAAATATGCTATGTTTAGATCGGAATTTGGCTACTGGACCTTGAATAGTCGTCAGGGGCATCTCACAACCATAGGGCCTTTATATCACGTGTCATCGTGTCTTGTGTTATACCCGTTTCGAATACCACAGACTGTTGATACCAACAAAACATACGTGTCACCCACAAGGTCATGATCGTGTTGGCAGGTTTAGGGTTCTTAGGGTTTAGGTTTAGGGTTTCTAGGGTTTAGGTTTAAGGTTTTGGAGTCAGGTTTAGGGTTGTTAGGGTTTAGGTTTAGGATTATTAGGGCTTAGGTTTAGGGTTGTTAGGGTTTAGGTCGAGGGCTTTTAGGGTTTAGGTTTAGGGTGTTCAGGGTGTTTTAGGGTTATTTTAGGGTTTAGGTTTAAGGTTGTTAGGGTTTTTAGTAGGGTTTCTAGGGTTTAGGTTTGCTTGGAGCTGGCTGTCCGGGGCATCCGAGGCTGGCTTCTCAGGTTTAGATTTGGGGTTGTGTTGATGATAGCAGTATATAACCAGGTAAAGTCGCCGCGCTCCATGAAGGGGGTATGGAGCATGAAGCTGGGGTGGGGCTTGGGGGGCTCTGAAGTCCTTCTTTGCTGCGCCTGCCACGCTTTTTGTAGGTCTCGGGGACCCGCTTCCGGGCGGTCGCGGGCAACATATACGTTTTCCGTATAAATACTCCTAATGTTTTGTGGCATGCTTGTATTTTCAACATATAAGATGAATGACTGGTATGCACGCTGCCATAGCACAACACGTGTCTCTATAGCAAACGCTACCTTTCACTGAAACAGAAGTCCGAGGAGAATGCCCCTTCTTTCAAGCAGATGGAACTGCCGCCTGAAATGTCCATGTTGGCCTAACCGAGAGCAACGCGTTCCATCTTTCGTACTGCAGGGGTTAAACGTACACTGCCTGACTCCGCAGTCATTTCCTTTCAATCTTCCGGGAAGAAACCACGCATGCAAAACGAGCTGGGAACCTCCGGTTCTTGTGCAGTGGCTTTTGGGTTGCCCAAAAAGCTGTAGCCAACCTTCTTCCGCCCCTTCCCCCCCCCCAGCCAACCTGCTGACGGCTGACCCCCGGCCCCGTCCTGTGCTGGGCAGCGAGGAGCGGGAGGCCGTCTCCGACGCCGCCTAGCCCAAAGCTCCACTGCGACCGGATCGCCCCGGTAAGAAGCTACGGGACTAGAAACACGGGCTTGAAGAAGCAGCTGCTTCGCGAAGAAAATAGCCAGCCTCCCTCCCAGTGACATGGAAGTCACCAAAAGGTCGCTTCAATAGATTGTCAGGCGATTAGCTATAGCAGACTGGTTTGGTTCGGCATGGCTGGCGGTTCCTCGTCCACCTGTGGATGTGTGTTTCGTGCCTTCAGACATGCAATGTACGAAGGGCTGAATATAGCCTTATTCACTACAACACAAGGCGAAGGCTCAACCCTTTGATGCTTAGCTTGGTCGAGCGTTGCTTGCGCCCCCTCTGAGATCCAGGAACATGAGCGGCAAGGCTTCGAAAACCAGCCTTCATCTCCTCAAGATCCTCCTCCGTAGGAATGTCAACGATCTTGACCTGTCGCTGACTGACCAGTCAATCCGATTTGCCAAAACGGTCTTGTGGTTTCCATCCGTGAACTCAGCCACGATGCCGCGTAATGCTGAGGATGCTGGGGATGCGGACCCTGCATCACCAGCATCATCCGCTTTGAAATCGAGGAGAAAAATGCTGAAAAACGCAAGGTGTCCCGTTTCCTGCGAATGGTGTCAGGCGCTTGGGTTCCCAACATAGGTTCCTTCAGCAGGTGTCCCACCTACTTGGAACCTACTCAGGTTCCCTTCTTGATTGCCCATTCAAACATCGACCAATGCTGGAAAACGTTTCTTTGCCAGGCTAGGCTCCTTACATGCCCCCATTTGGATGTCACCCCACCACAAAGAAATGCAAAAGTTGACCCCCCCCCAAAAAAAGAGAAACGGAAGGGAAGCCCCCCCCCAAAGAAAAACAAAAGGAACAAAGGGAGCACTACTAAAATTGGTTGATGTTGGAAGGGGAGCAACATTTAAGTTTTAGCAGTTCAGTGGGGGTTTCCCACTAAACCACAACAAGCGAAAATGTAAAATGTGTGCCAACAACAACCATGTAACCGGGAATATCTTCTCCTCTGAAACCCCTCCCCCCCCTTGCAGTGGGCCGCCTCCACAAAGAGCTCCCCAGCGGCGCCTGAGGAACTCTCTGGACACCTTCGGGGACCAAACCCAAACCAAAAAACCAAACCAACCCAACCCAACCCAACCCAACCTAACCCATGATTTGGAGGTGATGTCACCCGCAAGTTAGCAGTCGCTTTGCAAGTCGCTCACCTGGAATCCTGCAGTTCACCAACCTTCAAATATACCCAAAATGTGCCATGCTCTTTATGCGGAAAGCGTCTAGGGAAGATGTCAAAACCATGTCTTGCCCTGTACTCCCACGACATATTGCCAAAAGGTTAGCTACTAAAACGAGGGGCCCTTCAAGGGTGCAGGCGGCAACAATCGCCACCAAAACAGGTCACAAAAAGAGACACACCCAAGTGTGAAGACAAACCCAAGTGAGAAACGGTCGAGCTCCCGTAATCCTTGCCGCAGCTGTCTGTAATCCCGATCGAGGGGTTCATGCTCGCAACCCCAAGTAGTGGGGACCTTTCGACCCTGCTGCAGAATGACATAAGTCTCCCCTAAATATAATCCTCAACAGAAACTAAAAAAGGATTCGCAACCACAAGTGATGCTTCCCCAGCACTGTCAACTTCAGATTTCACCGAAGGACCATACCAAGGAGAGGTTACTTGTTTCCGTAGGTGCACTTTCAGTGGGGAATCAATTTATCAATTTTGTCCTCCGGACATCTCCGCACTGCCCACAGTCCGCTTCGCGTGTGCCTTCCAGTCCACCAGTCGCCTGCCGGCAGGCAAAGTCCGAAGCGAAAAGGCACCACTTTGGGCCCAGTTTGGGTCGGCCATTGCAAGATTGGCCACAGGTTTTTGGCCAGACCAAAAAGAACATGACATGTGATGACCAATGTGGCCTTCTCTTCATTGGGTTCCGAGTCCGAACCATAGACGCCAATCCGTCGCACGTCCAGAAGCTGGGAGGAACTGGGGCTCGTCTTGTTTTCCCTTCAACCACCAGAAAACGGACTTCAAGGGCACCAGGGCACCAGCAATCGCCCACGCACAGTTTGTGCTTCACGCTGGTAAATCATTCCCCCAGGTCACAGGTCCATTGTCACTTTTGAGGGGAAAAATCCCGCCAAATGAATCCCAACTGAATTTCTCGGGGAACCCCCGACACCCACCCGAACCGGGGATGCCGACCAGAGAGAAGGGCTGCGACCTGGCGAGTCTGGGTTCGCAAAATGGGTGGTCATGTTCATTTCCGTGTAACAAACCCAAGAAGACCTAAGTCGCAGCACACCCACTAGTCAGGGGACTCTCTCCTGTTTGGCGTCATTGCGGTTGTTGTGGTTGTTGTTTGCGGTGGTGGTGGTTGCTGCTGTTGCTGTTGCTGTTGCTGTTGCTGTTGTCGTTGTCGCTGTCGTCGTCGTTGTCGTTCTTGTTTGTGGTTGTTGTGGTTGTTGTGGTTGTTGTGGTTGTTCTGGTTGTTCTGGTTGTTCTGGTTGTTCTGGTTGTTCTGGTTGTTGTGGTTGTTGTTGTCGTCGTCGTCGTCGTCGTCGTCGTCGTCGTCGTTGTTGTTGTTGTTGTTGTTGTTGTTGTTGTTGTTGTTGTTGTTGTTGTTGTTGTTGTGGTTGTGGTTGTCGTCGTTGTTGTCGTTGTCGTGGTCGTGTTGGCGGTGATGGTGGTGGTATTGTTTTGTCGCGGAGTCTTCTTTAAGGGCGGCCAACAAGAAACGGCTTCTATCTATCTGGAGGAGCCCCGCCCTGGCCAAACAACCAAAGATATTCTGCTCCTTTTGCCATGTCATGTGCCAAAACTAGGCCCCTACTACGTGGCGCCCTTTGGATATCTCCCTCAACCTGCAACCACAACGGTCCCTCGATCTTTGGACGGCTCTCTGACAATGCCATGAAGGCTTGGTTCCCCCAAGAGCACCTCACTTCAGCTCAACAAGGAGGCGGGTGATTGGGGAAAAAGCAATGTTTGACACGGACGAAACGATGGAGAAGAAGAGGACAAACAAGGTCGAAAAAACGAGAGGGGCCAATCAGACGAAAGGCAAACGGGCGAAGAGCTGATAACGCCTCGCTGGGCCGCGCCTGCCCTCCATCCACAGTGCGCCCTGCTGCATCTGGCAGGCGAGGGCGTTGATCCAATAAATGGGCGAGCGAGTCTGCCCTGAAATGGGTCACCCCAAAGTAAAAGAATCACGTACAGCAAATGGGGGGCCAGCGGAATCCTGGTTTAGGGGTCTGAAATGAAAGTGTCATGCCGCGAATTGCGGGACATGGTTGTGGATTTCTAAATGTCACTGCCTAAATTCTCTCCTAAAGGGTGCATGACCATCACGACCAACCCGTTAAAGTGTGTTGTGACCAAGGCGCATGTGGGCGGACATGCACCCCAAAAGCCGACAGACCCCATATGAGTGTGACGCCGACAGGGACCCCTCCAAACGCTTGACAACTTGCTTTCGGTCATTTGGCATGAGCCTCAGCCGGCTGCCTGGCGAGAAAGGCAACAAGTCGGCGAGCAAATCAAAGCAGGAAGACACGGATGCGGGGATGTGACATGGGTTATCTGTTTCTCTGTGACTCCGAAGCACACATTATTTCGATGTGTCCTAAAACGGGAGGTGGACCACAGCCGTTAAAAAAAAAAAAAAGCGCGTTGCAAGTGCCACCACAGAAAATAGAACATACTCAGGCCAGTTGGCTTGAACAAAGACGGTCTTGCCTTTATGTCAACCAAGATATCAACGTCAGCAAAGAGAACAACACCTCGTGTTCGTTGGCCCCGTCCATTCCGATTCCGCGATTCCGCCCATAGCGTCCGTCGACTCCCGTTCTTTTCAAGCCTTGGTGCGGCTCAGGCTGTACCTGGCAAGCCCACGTCCCCGGCTGGGACAAAACGCGAGAAGCGAAAGGCACTCCCTTCGTCTCATCGCGGTCCTTTTTTCTTTACTTTCCTGAACCAAAGCGGAAGGAGTGAAGTGTCCGTCACCTGAGGATTAACCCACTATGAGAAGAAGGTGAAGACAGGCCCTTCCTCGCGGAAGGAGTCGCTCAGTTGAGCCAAAGCAGTACTGTTTGCGGAATGGATGTCGACTGTAACTTTCCACCATCCGGTGGACTGGAGATCAAATCTGTCACATTGTGGCCACAGAACAAGGTCCGGCCACCAGTAACAACAAGTGGACTCTTGACAGCGCCGAATACACAAACCAAGAAACCCAGCGTTGAACACTCGCAAAGTCATGAGAACAAATGGGTCCCACTGGAAATTGACAAATGAACCAAACTGAAACCAATACAATCCCAATGCCGATTATAAATAAATAATAAAAAAGAAATATTGATTGAATAAAGAAATACAAACATAAACAAAGAAAGGAATAAATAAATGAATAAATGTATAGCAAAATGAACAAATAAATATAACGTGATTCTTTTTTAAACTAACATATCACTGGCACTTACCCAACCTGACCTTGTGTTCAACACGGACCCGAAACGGTCCCTGACTCACCCAAAGCACCTACGGGGCGACCCGAAATCGCAGCACAAGGGCACTCGATGACCTGCGCATCGAAGTCCAGCTCGGGCGTAGGCAACTGGCAAGAACTCGGAGTGGCAGCGGTCTCAAAAACCAAAAACCAAATGGCCATGGGTCAAAACCCCGTACCCCCAGTGAACATCCCAATCCCCACACAGACTCACCTACCCCAAAATGGTACCATTGGTTTTGACCCACAGCCAAATGGCTGCACCTCCAGAAAAAGAGTCATATTTTCTCGTTTTTGGTGCGTTGCACCTGTTCAATGCTGGCTGGGTGCACTAGTGATGCGCTGTTGTTGTACTCGTTTCATACCCGGATCCATAGGTTCACCGAATCCAAGCAGTTTGCAGAGCTGAACCTCACTGAGCTGTGAATCTGCCACTTGTCAACACCTTTTCCAGGGCCCAGCAAAATCTGCACTCGGAGCGTGCTGCATTGCATTCAATTGCCGGGATGCAGAACATGTACATTTGCTCCAAACTCGTATCTTACACAGATAAATGTTGCCTCGCCGCTTAAAGCTTTTTACCATCCAACCCCCCACAGGCGACCGCCTCTATGCTGGACTGCACGCAAACCATCTCCGACTCTTCGTCTGCGCGGCCGGCGAAGGGCGTGCGGGGCGTTGGCCACCCTCCCGCAGAAATTTGGTTTGCAACAGCAGATGGTTGACACCACCCAAAAGCAGGTGGCTGCAAAACACGCGCCACTTGCCGGGGGAGGAAGAGTGTCGAATGGTCATTGGAGCTCCTGAAGTGGAATACCCCAAAGCATGGACCTCCATCAGGATTTCTCTTCAACACTCCGTCTAGGCTACGCCCCGCAAACACGACATAGAGAACTCGCGTGACCTGGTCAGCCAGAACTCTGCAAAGCAGCGAAACATGCGGGTCCTTTCTGTGACAAGGTGCTTGACGCTCATCCTACCACGACTTCAGCTGGGGCTTCCAACTTGGCACGAAGCGGCCTAGCGCCAAACACCCGACTTCCCCATAAGAGGAACGAGGCACAAGGCATAGGGCCCAAGTGTCCGCGCGTGGCGCGGCCAGGAGAACTTGGTTGCGTTTGCCCTTGAAACCCCCAATTGTGACAGGAGGTCTTCAGAGCCACTAGTTTGATCTGACAAACTCACGTGATCAGCCAGGCGTGCGCTTGGGCCGGTTGATTGGGTAGGTTCAACCCTCTCTCTACATTGACTCGCAGAATGCGCCAATGGTACAACCCCAAACCAGCAGCTGGTCGCTCTTATCATTGAACAGGCTTCACGAGGAACACCTGCCGCATATTTCAAGGAACCAATCAACGCGAGTGGCCCTCGAAAACGACGCAGGTGTTGAAGGAGGATTCCAACTAAGCCTGGGCAGCTGTCAAAATAAAACAAACCCTTCTCAAGACTCGCCGACCCTGCAAGCCCCTCCCCCCTTCGCTCGAAGAAGAAAGGAAACCCGGTAGAGCCCCCCTGCCCCCACAACCCAACCACCCTCCCCCCCACATTCCCCGATTCCTCGCTCCCCAAACCACTTCCCAAACCACTTCCCCAGTGCCTTCCTCTGCCTCCGCCTGCGGAACGACGAAATCCGAGGCAAAGGGTTTGGCCGCAGGGAAGTCTGCAGGAAATGGCCTGCCCCCGTCAATCCACTAGGGCGTTTCTGCAGGAAATGGCCCAAAAACAACCGAAAGATGCGGTTTTCATGTGGAATGTCCCATAACCCAACCCCTTTGAACTCCGCGATTGTCTGGCGGCATTCACCTGGTAAGGCTGGAGCTTTCACTGTTCACAGATTCCCTCGGTTCGTGTGGGTTTGTCTCAAAATAGCCCCTAAAATTCGGGGTGTCTTGGTTTCCCTTCAAGTAGCAATCACCCCTATCCATCGAACATTCCCAACGACGCCCACAGTGCAAAGCTGCGAACACCATCCCTGCGATTGATGTCCATCGATCACGGGGACAGATGTTGGCGGTGTCTTCCATTTGAGAACCCAAATCGCCCTCAAGCTGCCGTGAATAAGGAAGGTTCCGGCCATCGATGCAGAGTCGCCGATCGCTTGAAGGGTCGTACGCCAAAAATCCCGCTCTGAGGGCCAGATTGTGTCCGCTCCCCTGCCAATGGATAAGCGCTCCCCTCGGCCCAGAATGAAAAATCAACCGCTCGCGTCCGAGAGCGATCGCGTGAGCCACACTTTGGGGCCCGGAGAAAGGAGCCAAAGCCAAGAGAAGTCCGGTGCTGGTGTCCCAACGCAAAGCCGGGAGACGATCCCAGCGAAGACTAGCAAGAACAACGAGTTCTTCGACCGACACCGACACGCCCGATCCACTCAGAGGGCTTCTTCGGGCTCCAGATGAAGCACGAAAAAGCCGGTTTCTCGAACCTGGCACGCACCATCGAGCCACAAAGGGCTGCATTGCGATAGCTCACGTTGGTTTTACCTGGGATCAATATGGAGGAACCAAAACGGTGATGAAAGTGGCACAGGTGGCAGAAGTGGCACACACGGCAGGCCATTGGATTGATAGCGATGCCGAGACAGTGACATTCACACAGTGAACTCAGACCGTGCACAATGGGCTATGTGATTGAGCTGAGACAGTGTCCAGTTGGCTCTTCGGCCATGCGATTGACGGTGATGCTGACACAAACACACAGCTGACGTGGTTGACAGCATTGAGACCGTGATATTCAGGCGAGCGGTTGCGGAAAGAAGCACGACCCTTCGCAGTGCTTCCGAAACAGCGGGCTGAAACGGGGAGTGTTCGGCGCGAGCGTGGCTCCGCGCCGGCATTTCTTTTCGAGGGCGCAGATAGAGGGCGGGTTGTGAAGGGCTGGGGAAAGGGTAAGGTGGGCTTCATCAAAACTGCCAGATTCTAAACTGCCATGCTGTGGCTCAAAAAACCGGTACCAAAATGGAACCCTGGCAAGTGGAAACATGGAAACCTGCGTAACAGCCACACCCATGCAGGGGGCGTCGAACTTCAAAGCCCACCCCTTGGCTTTCCGCCCTCTCAGCCCCTGCTTCACCCGTGGCAGTGTAGGTGACTCACAGCATGCCTGCCTTTTGCCACAAGCAACAATCCAGTACGGCAAAAACAAGGATTGTCTTGCTGCACAAATGCAATTTGGACTTCAAGTGAACAAGTGCAAGGCATCAAACATAGTTGGACAACACAAGGCCCACATTGACCGCATTACCGGTTGATGTTCGGGAAACTTCCCCAGTGGCTTCAAAAAAAAAAACGACCGACACCTGGCAACGCGCGACGCGTCGCCAGAACCCGCGCGGCATCGACACCGCAGGTCACGTGCGCGACTTTTTTGGGGGGGAAGAGAGGACTCCAAAAAGGAAGCCATCTACTTCGGTCAGTCTCTTCGAGCTGCCCCGGAGCTTCCGGCAAGAAAGAAATCCGGTATATTTTTTCGGTCCATCGCAGACCCCGAACTCGGACTTGTAAGCTTCAGGCTTTCTAGTCCTTCTTTGCCAAGAACTGTCAAACACCCTCAGAAGAGTGCCAGCTGTTTTGAGAGGAAGACGGGATGGTTGGCAAAATCAGGGAAGCATTGAGCGCTACTAAGGCGGTTGCCGCCCCTATTCCTCAATGGCTTCCCCGCCTCCTCCATGCAATGGCTTCAGCCCATGGGGACCGCAATGGCGAGAAGGACCCAAGGGTGTCCCGAAATCCCGGTGGGTTTCGTTTGTGACCACTGGAAAATGGCATTTAAGCCAAAGATCCCCACAAAAAGATGTCGAGAGAACAACTCTAAGATGCTCGAAGTGGAACACCGGCGACCAGGAAACCATGCGTTTTGTCTGTTTGTTTGCCCGCGTGCAATGTCTCCGAACGTGTGCTAAGGAGAAGACCGCCCAGCGCGGCATACGGTTGATTCCCATATAGCGGGCAGAGAACGAGGGAATAAGCATACGGTGCCATGTGCTTTGTGTCCTGGCAAGTTTTGTGAGAATCTTTTGGGCCTGAGCTGACGTGGCACATCTTGTCAGAATCCTCCTGCAACCCTAGGGCCCCTCTTTCACGCTTGCGCCTTCCTTTCTCCCGGACAGTGCCGTGCATGTCAGTTTGCAAGCGTCCATGTGGCTGGCTCCATACGGCTGCGGATATGACGTCGCCCAACAAAACAAGATCCTCCCACACACGGTCGATGGAACCTGACTGGAGGCTCCAGGTCCTCTGCAAGCTGAAACGAACCCTCGGATTGGAGCACAACGCTGTGTCAAAAGCTACGTAGCCTACAGTAGGGGGAAAAAACGAATTGCTCTTGCTAAAGAGTTAGCCCTACAAAGTCCGCTGAGCAAATCAAGAAGACCCCTATTTCCACTACCTGGGTTCATGTCGATTTTTAGTACGGCCTATACTATGGCAAACCCCCTTTTGCTTGGTATTTCAAGGGAAACCAAGAGGACACCTGCCATTCTTGGGACCCCTATTTTGAGAGAACTCCCAATATCACCCTGATTGAGCTTCCTGAGTGCGGTAACACAGCAAGGGGGACATAAGAGCCCCTGAGAGTCCCTGATAATTCTCCCTCAGCGCCTGTTGAGCCCAGTCACGCAAAAGAGTGGCCTTAAAGGCTGGGCAACCCTCTGGGAGATGGTTTCCAGTACCCCCAAACCACAAATCCCAAGGGTAAATTGGAGTGTATGCCCTTTGTATAGTGGCTGTAAAGTGGCTGTATATCCCATACATCCCTGGGGGTAGCGGTTTGGGGGTAGTGGCAAACCATCTTAGATTGAATCACCAAAAAATCCAGAATTGCTACGATGCTTGGCCAGCTTGCTGCGTCTTGGGATGCCCCTAGAGTGTTTCCACGCAAAGGGAGGCCACTAAAAAACGTGACAAAGGGAGGATCCACCCTGAGCCATCCATTCAGACCGCTCCGCCCGTTCCTTCCGCTTTCCGCTTTCCGCTTTCACCCGAAGAACTGGCGCGGGTTCCGCGCCGAAAACGGGCGCCGAAGACGCGGCGAAGGGAAGGGATTCCTTTGGGACCCCGCAACCCTGAAACCTCCAGCTCGGCCACCCGAAAAAAGCCGAGGGACGGCAACAACAGCCGGAAAACCCATACCACGCGGACATGCGAACTTCTCGCAACATGGCGGTGTGGACATGGCACCACATGGCTTTTCGTCCGTTGCCCCTGCGAAAATTAGATAAATAAATGAAAAATAAAAGAAACTCGCGGTGCAAACTTCAACCCGGCTGTGACACCACCGCCCTCGGCATCTCACGTGCCACATCTGGCGCTCAGTTGAAGAAGTTCCGTGCCCGCGAGGTGCCGACGTACCTCAAGTTAAAGTTACAAGGGTCAATTGGTTCAGGTCAGGTTTTGGGGTAACCACACATGGGCAAAATGGGACGCTTGAAACCTGTGTCCAGTTGGGCCCAACCTGACTTCCCAGAGATTCCTCAACCCGTTGAACAACCTTTGATTCCTTACTGGCCCCGGCTCAATGCGAGGCACCCCCATGCGCATCTAAACTAAATCTGGCTTGGGCAACCCTGCCAAAACGGTGACCTTTGCTTTACTTTACGCAAGGGGGGGGGGGGGTTCTTTGTTGGACCCTAAGTTACCAAGCTGCACAGCAATCCCAAAGTGCTCGAGAAGCCCCCCCGGGCCAGAAGCCCCACGCCGCACAGCATTGCAAAAGAGACCCTGCCTCCCCGTTAGAATGGCATGGGGCACCGGAAGGATAAGTGAAATTGAACAATTCCTCTCATCAACAGACCCTCTATTCAGGCATTATGTTGGAGAGTGCAAGGAAGCCATAACTCAAAGGCAGAAATCCCCAAAAGACCTCTGGCGTTGCCATTTGAGTTTCCTTGAAGATCCAACTTTGTTAAACCCCTACAGACTCGAGGCTTCGGTTCACCGGTTCACCGGTTCACGCGCAGCTTGGGACCCCCGCTTGTCCCGCTCCTCGAGGATGCTGTTCACGGGGGTCAGGACCTATGTGACATGGAAGATCCCAGGAAATGCTCCCTTGACGGAAGCGATCCAAGTGAGAGGAAAGGCGAATGCTATGCGGAATGCTCAGCTCACCCGCTTCTGCATCCCGTTGTTTCAAGGTGCCGGGGAAGTCCCAAGGAGCCTTTCCACGCCCCAGTTCGGACCACAGGCTCCCAAAAAACCCACCTGGCGGAAAACTGAGAAGACGAGCATACCCGAGGCAGGGCTGGACAAAAACAAATCAGTAAGACTGCATGCAAGGATCCCTAAAGCCTCCCACCAGAAGGAGAGTCCCTTTGAATTGGCTGACGAAGGGTGATGTTCCATCAAAAAAAGGGGGATAAAGGGAATGCTCTTATAAGATCTCGCTATCGGGTGGCAATCCCAGCTCAAAACAAGCTTCCCCTCATGGTTGGCGTCCTTGTGGTTTCGCTCAAAAGCGATTCCAAACTGTCAAAGTGGGTTCTGATCTTTTGACGCAGCGTCAAATAGCGAACCCCCTTTCTGTTCAACGTGCTGGATACCCCAACTCTGGATCTTACCCGTTGTTGCACTCTTCTAGCACTCGTGTTGCGCTCTCCAAAAGCAAATCCGCAGGTGCATCCAAAACAACTCCCTTTTCCCGAACCCCGCCCCCCAACCGTCGGCTACCCGCATCCTTGGGCCCCGGCATAGAAGTCGCACTCGCCGTTGGCGTCCTGCAGAAAACCAAATCGGGGAAAGCTCAAGATGAAAACTTGCAAGAAAAAAAAGGAAATGCAAAAAGGCTAAATTGGGGCCCACTAGCCACCTGCAAACACTGAAAAACAATCACACAGAGCGGGGGTTGAAGGGAGATTGCAAAGAAAAGGAAGCCCAGTTTGGGAAAAACGCATTTGGAGACAAGCCCGTGCGTGCGGAGGTAGCGTCACAGACAGGCTCTATCTCTCTTGTGGAGGGCAGTATAACGCGCAGCGCTCGGCTTGTTATTTGCACTGACCCAAATGATCTCCAAAAGCAGAGATGAGGCACCCCAGTTGTTTCAAGGCACAGTTGGGGAATGGTGTCAGGTGAGGTTCCATGAACAAAAACGATTCCTCATTGTTATGTTCACATGTGGAAGAGTCACATCCTGAAATCCCTTGTCTGTGAACGCAACAAGCGAACAGGCTCCGAGGTCAATGTCAAGAAGAGAACTGCGACAACTTGCCATGATTCCACCTTTGTGTCAGCACCATGGAACTTGCTTGACTCAGTTTGCATGTTAGCAAAAGTTCTCATTTCTGCTCCCCTGGATGTAACAGCAAAACAGCATAGAACCCCACAAAAACCATATCCTCGAGAATCCGGAGATTTAATACAGAACCAGAACCCGGAAAGTTGATGCATTCGCATTTATTCTGGGGTGTAAAGTCGAAATGTGGGCTTGCTTTCATTGAGCAAACCTTTGTTGTGAGAACCACATCGTGGCAACGCTTTCTCTGGGCGAATGAAGCATCTCGAGACCTTCTGGCGCAGCCGAAACGAATCCCTGCTGCATTACAAACACTCCGTTGCAACTCCTTTCAGCCGACCAGGCCGAAAGAAGGGCTGGCCCCACAAATGGTCGGGCACCATCTTGACGGGCACATCCCAAGCGTCCCTTGAAACATATCAGGCCACCACGGCCCCGCAAATGGCGGAAAATCTCCGCCTTTTCCATCCCCCCACTTAGCTTTCCTTTCACCCAATTGTTCTTTCTCCGCCACACTCGCAACTTCGACCAGCTCGTGCCTCCCACTGGAGGGCGATCATGTTCTTGGAGGAATAGATCACGTCTACGTCCACCACCTGGTGGAAACCGCCCGGGCACGCACGGTCTAAACCCAGAGGTTGGTGTTGAGGAAAGGAGCTGACTTCACCAGCAGCATGAAGACTGCGGATGGTCTTCTGGGGAGCTCGGCTTGCCGCACAAAATCGCGTCCAGCCGCAATTGTGTTTCCAGCCCACCCAATTTGTCCACCCTCAAACCTATTTCTTTTGACCTCCAATTTACCTTGTGGCCTACCTTGTGACCTCCCAAAAAAGGCGGGCTGGGGTCCACCCAAACACGCTGCCCCCCTCCCGTTCTCGGCGAGGCGCCATCTTGTCCTTGCCGCCCCGTGGCTCGATGTCTTTGCCTGGCCACGAACGCGGGGGAGCCACCTGGGGCAGGGCCCACTGGCGAGCAAAACCCGGTTTGGAAAGAAAGCCCGTTTCCGGACGCCCAAAATTTCGGCGATGTTTGGAACACGGCGGCTTCTTCGCCTCGAATCCCCGACGAGATGGCCAGCCAAAAGAGCACACCGTGAGCTTGAGAAATGGGCTGTCCTCCTTGAAGTACCTGCTGGATTCCACGCAAACCCAAGGATAACCCTTTTGGGGTTGGTTCCGACCCCAAGTTTTTCCAGGCTGCCCAATCACATCCAGAACCCAGGTCGCAAAAAGACCCTTCTATCCTCTCTTGTGCGCCATGCTGCACCTTGGAACAACTCAACACACCCTCCTCTGCCACCCAGCCTTCGTCCGTCTTCATCTCGGTGAAGACAATCTTCAACCTCGAAGTGCGTTCCGAAGGCACGGTCGGCGCGTGCTCTAGCACTGCAGGGTTCCCTGTGTTCCAATTTAGGCATCACCTTTGTTTCCAAAACAAAGGAAACG